AAATACAAATTTTAGAGAATGAATGTAGGAAAGTGTATAGAGATGTAGGATGTCTGTTATTGTTTTGTTTTGGATAATGTGAAACAAATCAGACTGAAAGATCTAAAAAAAAACAGAATATAGCTCCTGATTATTTATCTCTTTTCCACAGAACTGACAGATGGAAACCTTTTCATGAAGATATCGGTGTCCATGAAGGAACTGAAGGAGGAAACATCTCAGTTGAATGCATGTTAATATTTATGGAAGAAGGAAGCTCTTGTGTGTATAATTGTGACTCTGAATGATATTTTCATGTTTATGCTAAAATGTATATTTTAAAGTAAACGTGTGCTACACAATAATAAGTTTTAACAATCTCTGCTCCATTAAAACTAACGGCTCAGTGGTTATTGCGTGCGCCCCATGTAGGGAGGCTGTAGTCATCCAAGAGGCCAGTCCAGGTTTGAATCCGACCCGTGGCTCCTTTCTGCATGTCAGTCCTTCTCTCTCTCTCTCTCTCTCTCTCTCTCTCTCTCTCTCTCTCTCTCTCTCTGTTTTTTAAGGTATATTTTGGGGCTTTTATGCCCCCCCCCCTCTCCTTCTGTGGGGTAGGGTATGGTAGGCCTGGTGACGGGCGGTTCGTCAGGTCTGGGTTGTGCCACCGTTGAACGTCTGGTGCAGAATGGAGCGTCGGCTGTGATCCTGGACCTGCCCTCCTCTGATGGAGCGGCTCTGGCTGAGAAACTGGGGGAGCGCTGTGCCTTCGCTCCTGCAGACGTGAGTCACTTGACACAAGCGTCATCGCCCCCGCTCTCCCGCTCGGAGTAAATGTTCCTGAAAATATCACCTGCTGCATTCACTTATGAGATGAGATGAGATGAGATTCAACTTTATTGTCATTACACATATACATGTATAGAGTAACGAAATGAGGTTTGGCATCTCACCAGAAGTGCAAATAAGCAGAAAGTGCAAGAGTCTGTGCTATGTACAGTAATTACAAAATTTACAGATGTAGACAAAAAAGTGAATTATTAGGTATATCTGGATGGCTGGATTAATGGGATGCATAAATATAAATAAATGCTATAAATATAAGTGTATTCTTAGGATTATAATATACAGATTAAGGTGCAGTGAGCATGCTATACTAGTTTACAGATAATATAAAGAATATGTACATAATATGAACATACTATAATACAATAATACAGATGGATGAGAGATGTGTGTGTGTGACCAGGAGGAGTGGTGGGGGATGATGGGTGTGAGGTGATATGCAGGGGAAAGGGGGGGTCAGGAGGGGGCGGAGAGAGAGAGGGAGAGAGAGAGAGAGACAGAGTTCAGAGTTCGGGGTGTGAGGTGATATGGAGGGGAAAGGGGGGGGTCAGCAGGGTGCGCAGAGAGAGGGAGAGAGAGAGAGAGACAGAGTTCAGAGTTCGGGGTGTGAGGTGATATGGAGGGGAAAGGGGGGGGTCAGCAGGGTGCGGAGAGAGAGAGGGAGAGAGAGAGAGAGACAGAGTTCAGAGTTCGGGGGGTAGAGTTCAGTAGAGAAACAGCTCTGGGGAAAAAGCTGTTCCTCAGTCTGCTGGTTCTGGTCCGGAGGCTTCTGAAGCGCCAACCAGAGGGCAGGAGGGTAAACAGTCTGTGGGCAGGGTGGGAGGAGTCTTTAAGGATGCCGTGAGCTCGCCGCAGACAGCGTTTTCTTTGGACATCCTCAATGGCAGGAAGTGGACAACTTGTGATGCGCTGGGCGGTTTTTACCACCCGCTGTAGCGCCTTACGGTCTGCGCGACAGAGCAGTTTCCGTACCAGACTGAGACACTGCTGGTCAGGATGCTCTCGATCACACAGCGGTAGAAGTTCCTCAGTACAGCTGAAGACAGGTGGTGTCTCTTCAGTGTCCTCAGGAAAAAGAGGCGTTGATGAGCCTTCTTAACCAGACTGGAGGTGTTAGTGGACCAGGAGAGGTCCTCTGTGATGTGGGTCCCCAGGAACTTGAAGCTGGAGACACGTTCAACAGCCATCCCGTTGATGTGAATGGGGTTGTGCGTGCTTCCTCTTTCTCTCCTGAAGTCCACAATGATCTCCTTCGTCTTGCTGGTGTTGAGGAGCAGGTTGTTGTCAGCACACCAGGCGGCCAGATGCTGTACCTCCTCCCTGTAGGCCGTGTCATCGTTGTTGCTGATGAGGCCAATCACCGCTGTATCGTCCGCAAACTTGATGATGGTGTTGGATCCATGTACAGGTCTGCAGTCGTGGGTGAAGAGGGAGTAGAGGAATGGGCTCAGCACACAGCCCTGTGGTACGCCTGTGTTGAGTGTGATGGTGGTAGAGCAGGTGTGTCCTGACCTAACATACTGGGGTCTGTTGGTCAGAAAGTCCATTATCCAGTGACGGAGGGAGGTGTTGAAGCCCAGGTCTCCGAGTTTAGTGTTTAACTTGGAGGGGATGACAGAGTTGAATGCTGAGCTAAAATCAACAAACAGCATTCGTGCGTATGTGTTGTTATTGTCCAGATGAGTGAGCACAGAGTGCAGCGCAGTGGAGACTGCATCCTCTGTACTCCTATTGCTGCGGTAGGAAAACTGGAATGGGTCCAGTGTGGGTGGGAGGCACTACTCCACGGCTCTACTCCACTTTTTGCAAAAAAATAAAAAACGAGGTGGCACGCTGAAATAAATCCAGATAAAGTCGAGGGATGGAAAATTGCGCGATCTGCATTCAAACATGATGCATCTCACCTTTTCAGGCGTTTGATTAGTAGGCGGCATCCATCACGTCATCCAACACTATCACTGCTGACTTTAGCACGTCAAGTTCTTCATGTGACCTTCAATCAGTATTCGATACTAAACTTTCTCTGGTTCTCCGCCTGCATGCAAAACACACAAAAGTGTATCCTTTATTTATACACATATTCTTGGTCCTATCGATCTAACATCTTAGCGGTTTATGTGATGTCTGTAGAAAACCTGCCGTCACTGCCATGTACAGAAGAAGATACATCCTGCTCAGTTCAGACAGCTTTACTCGTTTACTTTTATCTTAAATGCTTTAGCTCAAAAGGGAAAACTGCACATCAAACATGTGTCCTGTCAGGTCTGACAGTTATATCACCTCCTCCTGCCTGAGCGCTAATTGCATTTTAGCACAAGAAAGAAGGAGGATGGAGGCCGGCGAGAGCAGGGACACAAGAATCAAGTCAACTTCCTAAGTGTCCTGTTGGCGTTTCCCCAGGTGACATCAGAGGCAGACGTGCAGGCGGTGTCCCTGGCCAGAGAGAAGTTTGGAAAGCTGGACCTCGCGGTGAACTGTGCCGGCATCGCTGTCGCCTTTAAAACCTACAACTTCAAGAAGGACTTACCTCACAGCCTGGAGGACTTCCAGGCGTTATCAATGTAAGACAGACACACGGATGCAGAGACGTGCAGCATGAAGGGACGCCCGCGGATGTGTGACTCTCTGTGTGCTCCCTACCTTCAGGTGAACATCGCAGGAACCTTCAACGTGATCCGCCTGGCGGTGGGGAGATGGGAAAGAACGAGCCTGACGCGGACGGACACAGGGGCTGCATCATCAACACGGCCAGCGTGGCAGCTTTTGACGGACAGGTCATAAAATAAAAACACACACACATCAAAAAAATGTGTTTTCATGCTGTTCATCAACTATTCTTTTTCTTTTTGCTCTCCAGGTCAGCCAGGCGGCGTATTCAGCTTCTAAAGGCGGCATCGTTGGAATGACTCTCCCCATCGCTCGAGATCTGGCACCCATGGGCATCAGGGTCGTCACCATAGCACCTGGTTAGTCTACGTGCTGAAAGTCCAGATTTTTACAGGAGGATTGTCTCTGGCCCCTAAGAGGTGTAAAGTCCTCCGTTAAATACAGTTGTCATGGTTTCGTTTTGAAAGGCGGGATAGCTCGGAGGATGAGGAGGGGCGGAGGGTTTCACCGGCTGTTTGGCGTCTGGAGTGTGTTCTCTGCGTGATCGATCACGTCTCTTAGAAATGTATGATGACTTTGAGTTAAACTCCTGCTTTTGTTTTTCCATCAGCTGAGATCGTTTCATCCGTCCATCTTTAAGAGAGTGCTGTTTAAATGTCTTGTGCTGTAATTGACAATCTCACCACTTGGTGTCACTGTTGTTATTTAACACTAGCTGCAGATGAAGGATGAAGGCTTTTAGTTCATGATGCTTTGTCATTCTTTACAGTTTCCTCACTGTGGATGAACAGTAGTTAATTTTCAGGCTTTTCAATGATCGGTCACAGGAAGTTAAAACGACACATCTGGAACAAAACTGTCCTCGGCTCCAGCTGTGATCACCTGTGGCCTGCTCTGTGTTTAAATGACTGTCTCTTTCTCCCTCCAGGTCTGTTCTCCACCCCCCTCTTGGCCGGTCTTCCAGAGAAGGTCCGCTCCTTTCTCGCCGACAGGTGCCCTTCCCCTCGCGTGTGCGTGTGTGTGTTTTTGCCACAGTAACAAAAAGTGTTGATCATAAACTGAATCAATCACAAGAACACTTTTGTGTGTGTGTGTGTGTGTGTCTTTCTGGTTGTTAAGGCTGTTTACAGTAAATAAACACTGTAATAGATTCAACAGATTTACTTGTAAGACAAATGGAACAATCACAGTGAGCTGTGTTTGGCTCAAAGCTACCATTTTGAAAAATCCAATTCAAACCCAGAACCAAACAGAGAAAAGCCTGTTTTACGCCCAATGGAGAAGCCAGTTCCCAAGAACTTTGCTTCTACACCCGACTTTCCTATTCCAACTCCAGTGTCTGCTGACAGGCCGAGTGTAGCTTTGGTAATACCAGCAGAGGCTGAAGCACTGGCCACTTCTGCTTTGGCCATGGCTCTGAAAGACTCGTCAGTGAGTTCAGCCCCTACGCTGGCATTGGGTCCTTTGGCCTCAGCATCGAATATTCTCCATTCAGCACGAGCATGGCCCCATCCTGCACCGGCGTACATCACTCCATCGTCTGTCCTGTCCACTGCAGCAGCATAGCTGTTTTTGGCAGAAGCTTTACCAGGCCGGTCAGTGGTGTCGGTTGGTTTCCCGGTACCAAACTCAAGGCCCTTTTTAACAACTGCATTGGTTGAAAACATAAGACCATGTTATTAAAAAAACATCAGAGACAATCCCAAAAACAGACAGTACACCCTGACGGTGTTGATACTGTGGATACAACTGGCTGTTATCTCAGGTCCAGTTCACTTTATAATCTTCCTCACGCTGCGGTCCACAGTAAGTATGATTTATTTGTTTCTGAAAATCTTAATGTTGATTTCGGGTCGATGGCATTTCTGTTCAGCTAGATATTCATGTTGTGTATCAAACTTTAACTTTGTAGTTACTTTTTGTTAACTGTAGTTAGTTATTGTTGACTTTAAAAGCTGTGAGCATACCGTTAGCTTTCTGCATTTTATCCACGCCGAGCGGTTAGAAATATCTCCCGTTGCTAGGCAACAGAGACCGTTAGTAGAACCGAGTGGTAGTGATGTGTCCAGGTATTAGTCTGACCTTCAGGCACTAACAGGTAAACGTATCATTCTCATAGATATTTGAAGCACTTATTAGATTTTATTACTTCATGCTTTTCGAGAGGTCAACAAACATGAATTTATCAACTCGACACACAATGTGAAAGAAAAGATGAAAGTTGATTTAGGATACTTACTCTCATCGTCAGAGTCTGCAAGAAAGAAAAGGTACACTTTATTATTTGCTCATTTAGGGAAAGTATTTATTCTTTTAAAGCCCATAAAATGCACAATTCCTCCATTCATTGTTAAAACAATAAAATTATAAATGTGACATTTTAATTTTATTATACACAAGTAAACATAAACTTCACACAGCTGTAAGTTTCACCTCATAGGTCACTGAAGTTAGAGAATAACTTTTTGTAGATTTTTAATGTATGAGTATGAACTTGAGTGATGTTTACTCACCTGACATCTTCAGATCTAAAGAAGTCAGAAATAAAAAGAGGGGGTATGAGATTAAGTAGAACTCAAGTTGAATAATAGTCTTGCAGTGGTTATTGTGTCAAACTGACAGAGAAGTATCAGATAATATCATATAATGTGGCACATAAAATTAAAACATATTATATTAATCATTAGGATGTCAGAGAAATTCACAGGCACCCTGCACCTTTACCACACATCTTTACATTTCTGTTTAAAACCTCACATGCTGAATTTCATACCTGAATGTAGTTTCTTGATCCACAGGAGATATCTTGCGCTGCTTGCTCTCAGCTCAACTGCTGGACTGCTTTCATTTATCGGTTTAAATAGTAAGAAGCAGTGACTAAAAACAAAAGTGAAAACATGAAACTAACATCAACCACAGCTCAGTTACAACGGTCAACAGGAAGGGAGGTGTTTGTGGTAGATTCTATTCTGATCTCATTCTGTCTATTTATCTATTCTAGTTTTCTTTTTTTGTAATCGTTTATTCGTGTCCAAGATTTTCATGTGCTCACACATCTTTAAAATGACCCTTTCAGAAGTTTGATTCTAGAAAAATGTAGTAAAAGTCAATCTTGTTTTTCAGGAGTCCAGGGCCGTAACCATGTCAACCATCTTTATCTGCATCCTTATGACAAACTTTGCATGATGTTTATCAGCTGGGCATTTACAGAAATCCCCCCAGTTACAGGAAACAAAATGTGAAAGCAAACCCCTTTTTTTCTCTCTTGCTGCAGTGGTAGTAAAGTAGAGCTGGAGTTGTGTTAGAATTAGGGGTGTGAACAGTTACAAAAAATTGTAAAAGGTTACACGACGTCATTTTTTCCGTGTACATGGTTAACCATGAAAAAAGAAAAGCAAAGTGGACTTCAATCGCGCTATACAACCAATGGAGGGTGCGGCCGCTTTTCAGAAAGATTCCTCCGCATCACTGCCGCCACTCCAAGTTGTCAGACAGATACAATTGTGCTTTCTAAAGTAGGCTGTATAAGTAACACAGAAAACTTGCCATAGAATTTGTAAAAACAAATACCTGTATAGGCCTATAACAAGGCTATGATAAAACAACTACCATGATGAGTATTACATTTTTTAAAAGGACAAGAGACAAAGGATTTCTGCGTTAGGGCGCGGTCTCACTGGCCATCCGTACCGTGCCCAAGCACGCTTCAAAGCTAAAGTCCAGTTCGTTTGACCAGTGTGACGCTCCGTATCGTGCTCAGGCACTTTGGCACACTTGGGAGAGGTGTGCTTCGGCACGGTACACTTCATGCACGAGCACAAGCACGCGGGTACACAACGCTGACAGCCTTCATTATGGAGAAATCCAGAGTTTCATGTCTGTATCTGACTAACATGACTCAATATAAGACACAAAGTAGCTGTCGTGTTCTCTGTGAGAGACCCCTACCCGAGGTAGAACAAAACACAACCATATCTTTTCATAACTTGAACATGTCTAGTTCATGAAACGGATTGTTGTATACAAATATTTTACTGAAAAATAACTTTTTTTGGATGTTTTATGCATCTTACCAAAGAACGAAAATAGGTCAAATTAGGGCTTCTCCAAAAGGGACAGCTCTAGCCTTATCACATGTATCTCTGGGAATCAGAATCAGAAATTCACCAATTTGGACAGGATGTTCACGGATAGTTATTAGTTACAATTATGCAAAGTTTTTATCAATACCATTTTCAATTTTTGAATTTTTCACAATTCTGGTCCTGGATGCTCTGGATTTGTTTGGACCAGAGCAGGTCTCCCAAACACATGAACACCCACAAAGACATAAAACAAGTTTTGTAATTGGCTTGGCTGTTTAGTGATGAAGCTAAGTGAGTCTGTTCTTTCTCCAAAGAAGTCCCCGTGCTGCATGTTTCAGTGTATTTGAAGGTACAACAAACATGACTGAGCAGAAACTCATCAAATAAATAAAACATTGATGCAGCTTCAAGTTTTCATATCAACTCATCCACAAAGCTGCAGGTTACAGTCTCTGTAGTGGGGCGTATGAAGAGGGGAGGGGTGTGTTTTGTGTTTGGAGGAGGGACTCTGTCATTTAGAAAAGTGAGAACAAGTTCCTCGTTGTCCAGTGAAGACGGAACAAGAGCATCTTAAACCATCAGAGCGTTGAACATGAGAGTCCATCAGACTTTGATCTGCTTCTTCTTCCTCAGTGAGTACTCTCTATTCCTACACTCCTCTCTTTTCACTGCTGCATTTGTCTTCTTCATAGTTGACTTTATTAGTTACAGGAGACAGAATAAGAAGCAGTCTGTGGTGGGTGGACTCTTTCAAACATGTTGGTTTCTGTGTTAAACTAGACGTTCAGTGTTAAAATAGAATTGAGGAAACTGAACAGAGTACTTTGAAGCTGACTTTACCAGATAAAACTAAGATACAACTAATAAACCTAGATGTCACAGTTTACCATTTTAAGTTAAGTTGTTCAAGTATTCACTCATAATTCACCTTTTTCTGCATGCTGAATGTAGAAGTTGGATGTATTTTAGAATTCAGCAGACACCAACTTGTAAAAAGTTGAATGACGTTTCAGGCATGCAAATGCAAAATGCAAATTTTAGAGAATAAATGTAGGAAAGTATATAGAGATGTAGGATGTCTGTTATTGTTTTGTTTTGGATAATGTGAAACAAATCAGACTGAAAGATCTAAAAAAAAATACAGAATATAGCTCCTGATTATTTATCTCTTTTCCACAGAACTGACAGATGGAAACCTTGTCCGTGAAGGAACTGAAGGAGGAAACATCTCAGTTGGATGCAGCTTTATATTTTCTGGAAACAGGAAGGTCTTCTGTAGAAACGACTGTGAAGATGGAGACATTCTTTGTGAAACCACAGATGTCAGTGCTCAGTGTGGCAGATACAGCATTGAATTAGAAATACAGTTCTTTATGTGAGCATCACGAATTTGAGAAAGTCTGACTCTGGATCGTACACATGTTGGTTGGATAGATACTGGCTCAGATTCAAGTGAGACGTTTGAGCTCAGAGTTAAAGAAGGTGAGTTTTTACTCTTACATCTTTGAAATATCTCAGTAAGTAAACATTTAGTTTAGAGCTGCATCTTTTCTTCATTGTGAACTCTAAAAATTCTTAATTTAAACCAACAGTTTGTCTGTAAATGATCAGATTAGTCGACACGTTGAAGTTAATTTGAATATTGTTGCAACAGACGGACAGAATAACTTTCACATTTATCTGTAGTAGAAAAAGTTATTTACTGTTTTTAGAGAATTTGTAATATTTGAGCTCATTTGAGAAGTTTCAGCACACAGTTGAAGATGGTATTTTATGTTAGTTTTTACTTTTCAGGTGTATTATCTTTTCTGTGTTTCTAATAATGGAGTTTTAACCCAGGTCACAGAATATATATTTATAGAAATGTGTTTAATTGTGACTCTGAATGATATTTTCATTTATGTTAAAATGTAGCCTACATTTTAAAGTCAACGTGTGCTACACAATAATAAGTTTAACAATCTCTGCTCCTTTAAAACTAACAGCTCGGGGCGCTGGTAGCCTAGTGGATAGAGAGCACGCCCCATGTAGGGAGGCTGTAGTTACTCCAAACTCTCTCTAAGGTTTATTTTTGGGCTTTTTATGCCTTTATTTGAGATGTTGGATAGACTCAGAGAACAGAGAGAGAGAGAGAGAGAGAGAGAGAAGAGAGAGAGAAGAGAGAAGAGAGAGAGAGAGAGAGAAGAGAGAGAGAGAGAGAGAGAGAGAGAGAGAGAGAGTGTGGATGACATGCAGGAAAGGAGCCACAGGCTGGATTCAAACCCAGGCTGCTCGCTTGGAGGACAAAAGCCTCCGTACTAACCACTAGAATACCAGCCCCTCTCTCCCTGATTTCTGACTCTATCCACTGTCTCTAAATGAAGGCAAAAAAAACCTTAAAAACCTCCAGCTCATCTGTAAATTATAAGATCGGCTCAGATCAAACAATTGAAAATGTTTTCACCAAACACGATGATCGACTGCTGCTTTGAGCTTTATAGATGTTTTAACATTTTATACCTTTTTTTCAAATGTTTTTTTCCAGCTACAACGACCTCTAAACCAAACACGACCTCCACACTGACCACAGCGCAGACTGTGAGCTCCAGTTCAGGAAACATCACGACTTCACCACACTCGCCTCAGACAACAAAGAAATCTGAGCAGCACTCATCAGCTTCTGGTTCTGGTCCCACACGTAAAAACAATCTTAACAGATATTCTTCTTTTTAATCTTCAGCATACAAACATTACAAAATGTGAAAATAATGGGGGCGCCTATAGCCTAGTGGCTAGCTGATGCGCCCAATTTACGGAGGCTGTGGTCCTCAGAGTGGGCGGTCCGGATTTGACCTGTGGCTCCTTGTCTTTAAAAACCTTTAAAAAGATGTGAAAATAATGGCACCTCACATACTACAGGATTTTATAATCGTTATCATGCCTGGTGGTAGAACCCACCACCTCACTTGACCTCACGTATACAATGGAGCTGGTGGTTAAATTTGCGATTTGAATGCTTTGAGCAGAGACGGAAAAAACATAATAAATGAGTTTTTGGTGAAGAAATGTCAGATTCAGAAAATATGGATTGTCTGTTCTTCAGCGAAAGCTGGAGGTAAGATTTGAACTGTCAGATACATTCCAGGTGTCAGTCGTACCTGTTCAGGTTGTGTCTTGCTGCCAGTCGCCATTCCTACTCCTCCCTCGTCTCTCATGGTTATTGTAGTGACGCGTGACTTCCGCCAGAATCTTTCATTACGTAATCGTCAGGATTTGAAATCCTAAATATCAAACATGTTTAAAATAAATTGTAGCAGTTACGATGCTCTCTGAGCAGATCAGGGAAGCTATGGTTGATTGGATCTTAATACCACTCACTCTAATCTGGGCAGAACAGTTCTAGTCGGGCACCCCCCCCCCCCCCCCGACGGTCGGGAAGGGGAATCGACTCGATTATCCTGTAGTCTGAGCCAGGCTTTAGGGCCAGTGCACAAAAGAATTGACCCTTATAGTTATATTTCACAAATCATGAAGTGTAAAACAAACTTGTTTTTGTGCCAAAACAACCCCAGGTCTTCTGTTGTATTTGGGTCTGAGTCTTTTCATCCTCATCGTCATATTATCAGCCATCCTGCTTATGTTCTGCAGGAAGAGGGCCAGAGAACCCAAAGGTGAGGCTACAGGAAACACACGGAACAGGAAGTGGTCGACACCTTTAA